GGCCGGGCTTTTTGCTCTATGGCCGATTCGACCACGATTCGGGCCAGCAAAAACCCAGAAGAGAAAAAAACAAAAATCTCTGTCAAAAATCGCTGGCGGGCAGCTGCGGGCCCAGCCCAAGCACATCCTCACGAGCAACAACACCAGCAACACGGCGGCAACGGCAGCAGCAACAACATCGACAACAGCGACAACAAAAGACCGAACCAAACCATACCAAAAAAAAAAAAAAACCAAAAAGAAATAATTAATATGCCTCAAAAATATCCCGGCCAGCTTTTATGACAGCCAGCGGTTGAAGGGAGTATTCCAACTGCAACTGCAACTGAATCGGGATTGCAGCTGCACTTGGACGCCATCCGCTGGACGCTGGAGGCCAGCAGCAACAGCAGCAGCAGCAGTTTAACTAACGGCTTCTGTGCTTGTTGTGCTGCCGTTTCCGCATCTCGGTGTCGCCTCAGAATGTGCACGATTTTCCTTCAGATTCAATTTCAAGTGCAGCAATAGCAGCAGCAATAACAACAAGGGGCAAGCGCCGCTATTAAGTCGACGACAACAACAAGCAATAACCCTAACCGATGGAGCCGCCGGCAGTGGTTCGCCAGCTCAGCCCGGCTGCCACTGTCTGCCGCTTCTTGCCGAGATTTCTATCTTTGATCTCTTACTCCACATGGAGCAGCAGCAGCAGCAACAACAGCAGCAACAACAGCAACTGCAACGTGGAGCATTTGCCGCATTATGTGGCAGGGCAGCCGGTGCTGTCTGCTTGTTAAATTGCTCATTTAAACCATAACGAAATGGTCTGTGCCTGGGGACAGCTCCAGAGCATGTGCCTTCCTAGAATCAGCCCACTCAGAAAAACAAAAACCAGATCACTTTCAACACGGCTCTAACATAAATACCCAACAAAGTGTCACAAAACCCTCTGGTCATTTGGTTAGAAGAGCTTTAACAGTCTCCAGGTAAATGTTTCCTAGTGGCTAAGAAAGTTTCTGCGATGGTAAAGTAAAATATGTATGTTGATATTATAAAAATGTATTATTTCTTATAGCAGAAATTGATGTGTCTAAAATTTAAATCTTTATTGACTTACCTAAGGACACAAATATCCGAATATCTATAGCGTATGCCATAGAGAAAAGATTATATTATCCTTGCTGTGTTAAATTTAAAAAAACTGAATGTCTAACCTGTTTTCGATCATTTATAATTACTTATAATATTTTAACGAAGTTTGCCTTATTTTATGGTGTTAAAAGTAGCAATGAGTTATTTTTTTGTACCTCACATTGACATTCTCAGTATATGCACATCCTGCATGTTTGATTCCTTAAACATACCTTTATTAAATGTATTTTAGAAATTGCCACATTTTTCGTTCAGTGGAGCCACTTGTCTCTCTCTCGTTTTCCCTTTAGATGGAACACCGCCATCGATGCGGCAGCCGTGCAAATTGCCCGGAGTCATGTGGCGACCAAGTTGCTCAAGGCATTTTTAATTAGCATGCAGCGGAAATTAGTCGAGTCCAATGCTAATGCCAATGCAAGGCAGTGGGAACCGAATAGATTTGCCGATTTGATGGCCGCAGGCTGAGGAGATTCAGACCCCATCCCCGTCAGATGCTAGCATTTCTCAATTTGCGTCATAAGCCTGCGTCAACATAAATTACGGGCTGTGGAATTGGAATTTATCGGTGACATTGCGATAACGAGCATTGTGAAAAAGCGCTTAGAAACCGCGACAGCTTCTCAAGTGGCACGACACACGCAATTATATTTGATATTTTTATGGCATATGTATGTGCGTTTTGCCTGCATTTTGCCAGCTTTTTGCTCGTTCCCCTGAAATGTTGACATAGAAAGCTGACAATAAGCGCCGACTTAAGATCGTTTGTTACTTTTGTTTATAATGAAAGAATTTGTCCATAATTAAGCAGATTGCCGCGGATTGGATATCACACCAATGACAGCTAAATGTGGACAATTTCTCATAGATCTCTTAAGCCAACTTTGTGGCTTTTGCTGTGAGCTAGAAAAAAACCCCACTTGACCAGCGTTTTTGCAGATGAATCTGCATCCCCCGAGGTGACATCGTTCGGACTGGGCACATGCCAAATTGGTGTCACAAAGCCGAACCATAAATCAAGCAAATTATTATTAATTTTATTGGCCAGCACATCTCGGACACATGTGAGCCACATATAGAGATATCTCCGAGCAACAGGTCGTAGAACAAGCGCCGCGCATCACATCTCTCGCTCACTCTATCGCTGGATCTATAGGAAAAGGCCATAAATCATGACAATACCCCATCGACATGGCTCTGCCACAGCCATCCTCCATGCTTCACTGGACAATCATAATAATCACGGCCGGCTGCCGCACCAGCAGCAGCGGCAGCAGGAAAAGCAGCAACCAAAACTACTTACTATGTCTGCGTCAAGCCGATATGCAACTGATAAAAAGAAAAACTGTGTACAAAATATACAAAAAACGAGACAAACCAAGTTGGCTAAATACCCTTAAGCCAGCAGTGGGTATTGCATTTTTGTTGGCTCATTCAACTCAAAGGTTGCCATCCATACTTCTGGCATAAGAGCGGAAAATCAAACAATTATGGTTAAAAAGGACCAGTGTATTAAACCCATTTTCTCTATTAAGAGATGACCGCGTTAAAGCTTGTCATATTTTATTTATAAATTTAAAATTGTAATATTTTCTGAACAATAGAATATAAGGCAATGACCGGTTTCGGTCATGAAATTAAAATTATTTCGCAATATTTGTTTATATTAAAAATGTCATTAGAGTACATCAGCTTTAATTTTTATTAATGATAAAAATAACGCGATTATATCATCATTCATTTTTAACGACATTAAAACCTCATTTATTTTTACGGTGCTATTACGTGGAATTAAATATTTTATTCTTTAATATAATATTTGTGTTAGGGGTTTCGCCAATATCTTTAGTGACCAACAATATTTTAAATCAGCTTTTCTGCTGTTTTGGCATAATTAATGTTTTAACTTTAATTTGGAGGAAACAAGGGCATTTTAGAATCGTTGTACCCCTTGAATTTACTTAGTTTTCCATCGCATTGATTGTTTTCTTTGTTGTGGCTGCCGACGTCTCGCTCGCTCACCATCCTTCGGTGGCCAGCAAGCAGGAAAATTGACAATTGCGCACCTGCTTCATTTTCTTGTGCGGCTGCCGCCGAACGGCAAGCGGTCAACAACAATGCCACTGCCAATGCCGCGGCATCGTCTGGTTAATGGCATTTAACGGTCACCAAAATGCCCGCTGTGTAGCAGTAAACTTTCCCAAAAAAATCAACAATAATAATAATAGATAAATAGCAGAAAAAAAAGGCAAAAAGGAAAAACTTTATATGTATTTATGTGGCCATCAAAGGCTGGCCTATGGATAATTTTAAATACGGATAACAGAGCTACATTGTAGCTCCGACAATTTGCATAATGCTAGGGAAATATCCCTGGGCCGGCATAAATATTTCATAAATTGCATAAGCCGCGCATTTGCTCTAATTGTATGCTAATTCGGCCATGCCCCAAATAAATCAAAGCCAGTTGAGTGAGTTATGATAGCGGATTTCTTGGCTTTTGCAGCTGGTCCAATGCATCGGCATTGGCATCGGCATCGGCATCGACATCGAAATCGGCATCCTTTGTTAAGGGGCCGGTCCTAATTAAAAACTGCTTATGGGGGCCTATCAAACGGCCATCACCGCTGGCCAATTAAGCTGGCCAACGGAAAATATACGAAATGAACCTGACCGCAAGATCAATGAGTCGTTGATGAAGTTGTTTTGATAGCAACAACGGACTTAAATGCCCTGCCCTGCCTTAGAAAACGTGCGCAATTTATCTAAATCAGTGCAGCGAAAGAGAGCTCTGCCCCTTTCGCCCTCCGGCCACTTGACAATTGGCATGGTATCGCCAAAGACTGCTCCTTCTTACTGCGGGCAACCGCGCAGCGAGGAGATAAACATCATAAATGCATTGAAATGTCATTGCCAAGTTGTGCTATCAGTCGCGAGTGCAGCTACCAAAAACAGCCATCCGGCGATGGCGATAATAACCAGAAGTACATATGGTATAGTAATTCCGAATCGATGGGCACGGCCCCTTGTCCGAGGGACCTAATACCGTTACCCTTTATGCAATTACAAGTACGTGCAATTGCAGCGGAGCTTAATTAGAGGCACAGAAAAGCAGGAGCCACAGCAACAGCCACAGCTAAAGCCACAGCTACAGCCAGCGAGCACTTGACTGCTCCGCTGACTGACTGATGATTATTTATCACCGTCGTGAGTCGTGCGACAATGACACGAGATAGCCCGGAGAGTTGGCCCAAAAGCCAGCAGCATCGTTAGCAACATTTTGTCTGCCACCAGGCTGACTGACACAGGCTGGCCCCTTGCCAACATACAGTTGAACCATTGGACCAATGCACCAATGGACAGACGAACCGATGGACCCATGGACACCTGGACGGACTGACAAACAGACTGGACGGCCGGGCACTCAATCTTTCATTTTGAGCTGCACTTCAATCAGTTCGGCTCGGTTCACTCCGGTCATCGTTTTGGGCTGACGTTCTGTGAGAACGAAATTAGTTTCCAATCAGAAGAAGCGCCTTGTTTACTGTCGCTACACTGGAAATAATCTGGGATTTATTAATTATTTGATGATCAAAAGCGGTAGATAAGTTTTGAAATAAATCATATAAAAGAATCGTAGTTAAAAGCACTTGTGTGATATAAATATCAATCGATGAATCTATCATTCTGAAGTAAGAGAGAACAAAAAAACAAACACTTTTGTAAATGATTACTTGAACTTATCGAGAATACCTTCTACGGTTGATAAAATATTAAATAAGTCAATTCATTTGCATCCAAATCGAATTAGATTCGCTAACGGTCCTAATATACATTTCCCTCAAAGTCAAAGTCATCTCTAAAGAGAAGTCTGAGCCATGTGGATTAACCTTACCTTCTTGGCTTTGCTTTGCGGATTTTTCTGTTCAACAAACGTTTATGGACGTGTTGCGAAACCAAACATATCTGTAAAACGTCTTACAAAGATAGGAGGATTCAGAATTAATCAGGGTAGGCCAGATGTTTTGGAGTCAGTCAGAACTACTTAATTTCTTAATTCGCAGAATTGTGCCTTTTCACACCTAGTTACGGAACATGCAAAAAGTTCATCAGGGTTTTTGGCTACAACCTTATGACCAATAGATGCACCGAATACCTCTATAGCGGTTGCGGTGGGAATCCAAATCGGTTTGCCACTGATAGCCAGTGTCGGAACGCGTGTTTTGTTGTTCCAAAGAGGATTACCGTTTCCGAACCAGACTATTACGCAGATGAAGAAGTCACAGAACCAATTAGAAAAAAAGGATAGACCTTGGTTTTTATATCTAAAAAATTTCTAATATATCATTTGCTTCATATCTGTTGTCTTTATTGTAGTTAACTTAAAAATAACTTATAAGTATAAGTATTATACGTTCTATTAAATGAAATGATTTGATTTGTTAAAATTGGCTTGATGTTGACCTAGCTTTCTGAAAATTAAACACAACTTGCAACAGTTTTTAGCAGCACACCTATGGCTTTCTGTTAAAAAGAAACAATGAAATAATTTAATAAAATCGACTTCGGGAACTACTTTAATGGCTAAGCTTGCTGGCCCAAGTTAATGCCGCAATTTATGGCTCTAAGTGCATTAATAAATTGTTACATTTTCTGGACCCCGCCCCATACCGATATCAACGATAAGCGTTGCGCTATATTAGTGCTTGGCTAATGCCCAATTCCCAACCAATTTGTTCTATGCGGAAGTTGAGCGACCGCAAGTCGCGTAGTCAATGCAGCGGAACTAAACCATTAACGCCTCAAAAGCGCACGACACTCGAACATTCTAATGACTTTATTATGAGCAATGCAGGGCAGAGATACGGGGCAGTGAACACTATGTGGCACCATGCAGTCATAAGTTGTTGCAGTTCATGTTGATGCTGATGTTGATGTTGATGTTGCAGCGGCTGCGGCTGCTGCTGCTGCTGCCGCTGCTGCACCCACCCAAAAGTGACGTCAGGGTGCGGCGTAGTCATCGCAGATCGGTCGGCGGCTCCGGGCCTTTCAAGTGTGCAGTTAGCTGAAATGAATACCGGGCCAAATGCACAGACCGAACCCAAACCGAGATCAGGGCATGACAGTATATCAGTTGACGTTTCTCGGCTGGCGTTGACAATTATTTATGGTAATAAACAGTTCCGCTATAAGCCCGACACTCTGCTCTTCTATCGCAGACACTAAATCCCGAGATCCGAAAATATTCAAAGCCCACATTATGCGCCTCTAATTGCTGCAAAGTCGATGTGTTACCATAACCATAAAATGATACGATTTCCACAATTGTAACGATCACAGACAACGAGGGAAATAATATAAAATGCACCCACAATGGGGAGTGTACAACCGAACAGTTCACAATTTGTAAGGCAACCAAAGTTCGGTTCGGTTTCATTGTCGTGCGGCAATAGCAAAAAATGGCAAAACAAATGGCCGGTGTCTCATTAATGCCACACAATGGTGGCAGCCAACGGCGTCCGAAATATGCAACATTCATCAATCACACAGCAAGCGAGCGGAGCTGACCTAAGCTTATATACACTGGCAAAAAATATAATATTTATTCTTTCCCCCAACACAAATTAAGAAAACATTTTTTTGTCAAAATATAAAAGTTTAGATAACAATTTCCGGCATTATATGTAAAAGTACTTTAGAATACTCACATATGTAAAAACCTTTTTAAAAAATTTTTAATTTGAAGTAAATGAACCAATTTTGAGATAGTTTTAACAGTAGTTCACAGACTAAGTGATTTTAAGGAAGATGGTAAGTTGAATTTGTTTTTGTTTTATAAGTAACTTTATATAGTTGTTCCTAATAAAAAGCTTGTTGAGATTACTGAAGAAATTTATAAGTTTGTTTACAAAAACTTTTTTTTAATTTAAAGACTTTTTATAAATTGAAAGCTTTCTTAATAAATATATATATGTTTTATCTATAAATCTCCAAAATGACACAAAAAAATAAATTAATTTAAATAATATTAATATGTTTTTCCCAATTATTTTTGTAAGTGTGCGCCGATCGGAGTGTGGCGTACTTTGCTGGCCAGCGAATGAGAATGAGTTCACGCGCTGCACTTGAGGTCGAAAATGGACTGTGGACGGACATGGGACGGACGGCGGAACGACTGTGTGCGGATTGATTTGCTTGGCGCATTTTCAAGTCAATTACACATATTTGTGGCATTTGCGGCAATTGAGTATGAAAACTCATGCGGTGGGTCGTTCGACCAGCCGTAGGTGTTGGCCGTCTGTCTATTTTATTTGTTTGCGGCCGGGCTTATTTGCCTGTGTGCGAATGTGGCATGCCACAACAACTCGCCGCATGTGTCCGCCCACAAATCAGAGGTTTGGGGCTGACCAAGTGAGTCACGTTGGCAGTCGGGCGAGCCATAGAGCTATATAGCCATAACTCATGTGCAAGTCATTGCACAACGATCCCGGGCGAAACGGTCACCAAGGGGTTAAGCGCTAGCTCTTATCACAACAGCCAATGGAGGAAGCTTTTGATGAGTCAACTTAAAAAAGCTTTATCTTTGAAACCAAGGTATTTTTTTTATCAGAAAATATTAAAAGGTATCTATTTAATGAGTGTAATGGAAATTAGTAAGTTTGGTGTAAAGCAAGCAAGTTGTTTGAAAATATGGAAAAAGACATAGTCATTTTGTCAATATAATTTAATTAATGAGTTAAAAAATTAAAATAAATCCGAAATTGTAATATCCCAGTAGTACCACAAAGAAGCGGCCATCAAGGGGTTAACTGCTGGCTCTTATCAAATCAGCTGATAGGGAAAGCTTTGGTCATCCAAACAAAAAACGAAACTTTAACCCACAACAATGGTGTGATAAGAAAGCTCAACACGGCGCTTGCGTGATATTCGGAGAGCGGAATGCCAGCAAAAGCTCACTAACAACAACAAGTGAAGAGCTGAAGGGCGCCAGAGAAAGGGGCTTCTCAAAAAGTTACTCATATTTTGTTTACTACATGAGTAGTTACAATTGTAACTTTTTTTGCTGGTGTTCGGTGGATAGCCGGGTAACGACTACGTGAGAAATTTCGGTTGAGTTGAGTTTGGGAACTTCGTGGAGACTGCGAAATATGAGCCAGTAACTGTTGGAACTGGTCACATTTCGGCGAAGGAAAGTGTTCGCATAGCAATTGTGGCACTCAAATAATTAGTTTGTTTCCTCATTAAATTATAAAACACAAAAATTATTTAAAAATTTACATTTATGACTGTAACTTAACATTAACATATCATCAGCAATAAAAAATACCCACAAAGCGAAATGCAAGTTGGTTAATGTTTCATTAAATAAAAGACATTTTTGATAACATAATATAAGAAAACTGATTTTTAAACAACTTATTTTCAGCTATATATAGCCAGAGAAAAGTCATGGTAAATCCAAATATTTTAACTTGGAACTAAATATTTCCGGTACTGAATAAGCCCCGAAGGGTGTTTAAATCGAAGTGTGTTTATTGTTTTTAATTAAATTTATATTTTGAACAACAATTTTACATTTAAATGTTTTTATGTTTAATTTTACTATGGGGTTTTTCTGTGGGTGTATACAACTTATTTGCATTGTATGAATGTATGAACTTAAGACTATGAAAGTATAAGACCCTAAACATAGTTTATTCTTTCCTGGTACTAAGACTTTTTAACTAGTGCTACAAAAGGTCTTATCAAAACTTAAATATGTATTTAAGTAAGAAAATAATCCGAAAAAGTTTGTTTCCGTTGTTTAAGTTTTTAAGCAAGTACTTCAAGATAAGTTCCAAGAACTGCTGTTCCACTTATCTAATCGCTTCTGTTTACACTTGGGTAAATACTCCTAATCGCGGCGCCCCAAGATCTGCCAGAGATATAAACCAGATCCATTCTCCCATTTGTCGGGGGCATTCCTTGCACAGATCATTAATCAAGTGATCGAGTCGATCGGTAACTCAATCCGCTGCATTTCAGCGAGGGAACATTTATTTATTGAAAGGCGTGTTCCCTTATATGTTGCATTCTTGGACAATGATTGCAACTATTTATAATACACTCTGCTCTCCCGAGAGAGATCTACTCGGTATACTTGGTACGTACGCACTCTCTTCCACCGACTGTGCGTTTGTCAGTTTCGCACATCTAAATTCGTAAACAAAAGCGTATTATCGCCCCGATAAACAACAAACAAAAATGTATTTGTTCTCTCATTCAAGCACTCTCTGCGTCCAAGAAATTTTCTCCGCTCTTTCGCCCGCATTGTGAGAAGCAAAACAATCAAGTGAAAGCGCTGAAATTGTATTGAAGCCGTTGGCCCAGCTCATAAACAGAGAAAAAGTCGGAGAAAAACTTTCGTCGGATACAGAGCAAAGTGCACAGCGCACGGCGGAGAGAGTCTGGTACGGAATAGTATGGTATGGTATGGCATGGTGTCTGGGAATTATTACGGAGGAACTAAAGCAGACCCCGGGGCCCCGAACTCAGGCAGTCATTCAGTTAGTCAGTCAGTCGCATGCGAGAGTCGCTATCGGGCGGAGTACAGAAAATCCGAATCAAAATCGGACACGGAATCGGAATTGCAGACGGAATAGGAATCGGAATCACAGACGGTGGGAAAAATGTGCTAGAGAAGATGTGCGAGGTTAATGCGACGACGACGTCCCATAAATCGCAGCGGAATCAAATGAGTTTTATTCAATCAACGAAGAAAGTCCGCCCACCAACGGAAGTGCTATATATACTTGTGTAGTGTTGAGCGAAGACATCCCAAATAAACTAAGCGCAAAAGGTAAAAGCGAAAATTGTGCTGTAGAAAATGTGTGTGTATATGGCTATGGAAGTACAAAGAGTACACGCCTTTTAAGTGCACCAGGCACAAATGCCAATAACAAATTGTGTGAACTTGGTTGTAGAAATAACATAAAGGGGAAACCCAGAGACGGGAAATAACTTGCTAGACAAACGGTTTTCAGTTACAGAAATACAAATACTGGACTGCGCTGTGGTGCCTAGGGTCAACATCCTTTGACCCAATTATGGCTTAGGAACTGCACAATCGCTGCTGCCAATTGGCAATGGGTTGGCTTCTGTTTTGTTGTTGTGGCTGGTGTCAAGTCGTTTTTATAATGTCGCTCAATTTCCGTTGCCTTTTCTTTGGGCCTGGCCTAAACGCATCCCCAGTAATACGCCCCCCCCTTCGTATTTCCCCCTTTTTTGCTGACACGCCTCAGAGTTTTGCAAGGAAAAATTATGAATAGCTTGGCGGGGGGAAGGGCGTGAGGTGGGGTGCTGGGGATGGGGTAAGGACTCTGGGGGTTACGGACTTGGTAGGGGGCGGGGGTTCGGGGAGAAGTTGGTGGTGGGCGCGGCAGAGCAGGCGCACTCCTTGCAACTCTCTCTCGGACTTTCTCTCGAACACTCTCCAGACCCTTTCTTTACCCCCAAGTATGTGCCTAACCTACCTTTTGTTGAATTTCATAGTATGTAGTATGATAAACGACACATGCACCTGTGTGGGTGTGTGTAAAATCGCTGCGAGAGTGTGTGAAAGCAGGTGATTATCTGTTGCCGTCGTGTATTTATCTCATTGAAGCATACAAAAGTAGAATGCAGACCGCTTTTAGGCGTTTACAACGTGCTTTATCATTTAATATAGCATTCCCCTTGAAGTCAGTACTATGGGCAAAATATTGACTTATTTTGCCCAACAAACTGATCATTCAACAAGTGATTCCTATCAGTATATCACATTTCACACATTGAAAAAACTGTGTAACTTTTTACTGACGCCAGCCATTGTGCTAACTGATCTCGGTAAAAATAGAAAACGCTTGAGTGGTGACTACAGAAATTAATGATTTACTTGGAATTGTGCTGTTTCCCTACTGATTTACTTCAGCACTACATGAATAGACATTTCAAAGGTTAAATGAGGAACAACAGATTAAGTTCAAATGGAAGTTTAAGTATTGGTTGAGAAACTAAAAATTATAACATTAAATTAATTACTAATGTCTAATTTTTAAAATTTATTTAAAACTATACAATGAGAGATTTAGGTATTTTCTCACGTCTCTCAAAGTGTTATAACTTTTTGTACACTGTCACATCATTTCTAGATACTACTGGCTTTATCTGCATCTTGTAGAGCTTACTGCTGTCATATCACGACTTTTATTTTCTGCCCCATGGTTTCTGTGTGCAATGTGTCACGTACATATCAAAGATACTCGAAGATATTCCAGCGCGCGAGAAGCACTTTATCAGGAGCAAGGCTCCACTCGACACCCTCAGACCTCCATACGTTCAATCCACCACCCACCACCCACTATCCTCCAGCCGCCCATCTTATTGTGCAATTTTTTTAATGGCAACTCTCTTCTGATTGAGAGCTGCGCGTGAATGGGTTGCGTGGTGGCCGGATTAAATGGAAAGACGGGCTAAAAGTCATTAGGGCTAAGAGGTAAAAAGGCGACCCGCAAAGGCCTGCAAAGCCACAAAGCCGAAGGCGTTTTAATGAAGCACACTTGACAGTCATAATTCATTTGCAGCAAATCAACTCAGAGCAGGCAGACAGACAAGTCCCCTCACAAAGGTTAGGGCTTGTCTTGGAGCGATTGGGAGTGCAGGGAAGTCCATTAATGGGAACCCATTAGCACACAGGAAGAAAACATTGTTGAACGGCCTAAAAGAACTAAGCTTGCTGGTAGTAATTGCATTTAAATTTTATAACAATTAAAATGCTTTCTGTTAAAATGCAATCTATGCAATGAGTAACATCGTTTTATAAAAATAATGCCTTTACATGTACATTAACAGTTTTTAAAGTATTGAACCAGCATTTTCACAAATGAAACATAATTACCACAAAGTTTATTTATAAGTTCTGTAGTTCTGTGGGGATCTCACATTTCATTTTCATTTATTTTTCACTGGTATTATATCTTTTTGAAAAGTTGAAATATTTAAAACATATACTTTTAAATTTATATATAAATTTAATTATTATATGTTGCAGCCTTTTTCTACAATGGGCAAGGATCAGGAGTTCCTGGAGGCGGCGCGCAATGGCAACATCTCGCACATCGAGAAGGTCCTTAGCCAGAAGGCCAAAAGGGCAGGACCACTGGCCAGTCTGCGCCGTGGCACTGGTGTGAATGTCCAGGACAGTGGTGGCTACTCGGCCTTGCATCATGCCTGCCTCAATGGGCACGAGGATATAGTGCGGCTGTTGCTGGCTCACGAGGCCTCGCCCAATCTTCCAGACTCGCGGGGATCTTCTCCGCTCCACTTGGCCGCCTGGGCAGGCGAAACGGAGATTGTGCGCCTGCTGCTCACACATCCGTATCGACCGGCTAGTGCCAATCTGCAGACAATCGAGCAGGAAACTCCTCTGCACTGTGCCGCCCAACATGGACACACGGGAGCCCTGGCCCTGCTGTTGCATCACGATGCGGATCCCAATATGCGCAATTCACGAGGAGAAACCCCTCTGGATTTGGCCGCACAATATGGACGCCTGCAGGCGGTTCAAATGCTGATACGAGCCCATCCGGAATTGATAGCCCATCTGGGCACTGAGGCCTCGGAACGGGGTACACCATCGCCCTCGTCGCCGGCATCCCCAAGTAGAGCCATTTTCCCCCACACTTGTCTGCATCTGGCCAGTCGCAACGGCCACAAAAGCGTGGTGGAGGTCCTTTTGTCCGCCGGAGTCAGTGTAAACTTGCTAACTCCTTCGGGAACTGCTCTGCATGAAGCAGCTCTTTGCGGCAAGGAGAACGTGGTGAGGACTCTTCTGAAAGCTGGCATCAGTTTGGCGGCCACCGACAACGAAGGACGCACTGCTCTGGACATTCTGCGCGAATTTCCACCGCATGTCACCAAGCACATTGTGGCTGTGATAAACAGTACGTATACGCAATCCGTAGAGCCCATGGGTTTGCTTTAAAATATGATTTATGTTAGTCACATTTAAATCAAGGTTATTTTGTGAAATGAAATATATAAACAATGATGACCCAATTTGTATGCGCTTGTGTATATGTACAATGCGATAGAGATAACCGCAGGCCTCAATATTTACTTCAGCTGGAGTCTTAAGTGATTGCTAAAATCTCAAACTCCATATTTTAATTTATTTGGTGCGGATTTAAATTATTTGAAATCTAATATAGGTACTTAAACAATGGCATTGTTTCATCCCATTGATATGCATTAAAATAGATATTGTTTACATACAATGCTCATAATTTGGTTATTTCATAATTTCAATATTACATTTGTTTTTCTTTCCTGCAGACTTCCGTAACCAAATGGACACCGATGAGGGCGACGAGGTGATCTACAGGCAACACTCAGGGCCTCCAAACTCAGGTCGTGGCCAGAGCAAACAGCATTCGCAGCAGCTGCAGCAGCCGCACAGCAATCACTACCATTTTAACTCCAACAATCACTTGCTAAACCACTCGCACTCCATGCAACAATCCGGATACAGTAAACAGCGGCTGAGTGCCGGAAACGGTGGTCCCTACAACGGAGGAAAGTCCTTGGACAGTGCCCTCCAGACAGAGGATCGCTTTTACCAGGATCTCAATGCACACTCACCGCTGCATAGTCAAAAGTAGGTCAACGCAATATAAATGTATAGAAGAGCATTAAAGTTTCATTGAGAAATAAACACTGAAACATATTCTATGGAGTTATTAAATTTAATATAATTATCTTAAGTTCGAGTTATAGGTTTTAACTGTTTTTATTTAAATTTAAATTAATTCTTTGTAAGTTCTTTCATTAGTATTTAACCATTTTTGGCTAACATGTTAATCATTCTTCTGTAATTTCTACCTTTATTTTTTAGTGACATGGGTGGTGGTTACAGTGTAAGTCCTTCTTCATCGCTGAGCAGCTTTGAGCCAGCCTCGGTGTCGCCCCGATCCCGCTGCTCCACCGGCGGTCTCGGCCAACCCATGCAGATGAGCACCTTCGCCCCGGCCGGACCGCCCAAGAAGCCGCCGAGGCGCAACCTCTCCGTTTCGCCCACTCACGCCGGCTCTGGCCAGCAGTTCAGCTACAGCTCGCCATCCAGTCAGAGCCAGAGTCAAAGCCACGGATACGGCCATGGCCAGAACCAAGTGCGCCGCCAGCCGACCAGCGATAGTCCGTACTCGCATCAGAGTCATGGCAGTGTTGGCGGCATGAGCTTCGATGAGACACAGTTGCGGGAACGGCAGCGGAACGATCGCCTTTATGCCAGTGCTAGGCAGAGTACCCGATCCGCCATTGCCGGCGGAATGAGCCTCAGTTCCAGTAGTAAGTATCTAACGTATTTCTAAATCGAGTCCATCTCATTAAAACATTTACAGATGACATGTTGGACCGCCAGTGCAGCAGCTCGGAACTAAACAGTGAGACGAGTGTGCTCAATTCTAGCGGAGATTCCCCGGCCACCAACTCCATGAAGCGCCCCATCCCAGCTCCTCGAAGTGCCACCACCAAGCTATCCAAGGAACTGCTCAAATCAGCAGAAAATGCCACCCTCAAGTCGTACAACCCGAATCGAAAACTTAAGCGCAATCGGAACAGCAGGTAAACAAATATTAAAATATAATGAATATTATGAGTAATAAGTTTTTAAGAGCTATCTTTTAATAGAAAACACGTAATCTTTAATACCTGGTTGAGTTAAGTTTAATACCAAAATCATGAGTACCTTATTTTTTTAAATATAATTTTGTTTAATTTGTTTCCAAACACCATGTTTTGTGTTGCCTTACTTTTTAGTAATGGTATTAATAATTAATTAGAATTCATTAAAAGTGGTGTACTTTCAATGACTATCCAGACTTCGTGACTATTTTGGCCTAATTAATATTTAACTTTAGTTAATGCTACACAGTTTTAATTTAATGCTACTAAAAAAAATTGTAAATCAAATCAATTAATATACAATATTTTAGTGGTGCTAATGTGGCTGCCAAATCCAACGGCGGCGATGAGAACTGCGAGGCCAAGCAGCAGATCCCCAGCAGCCCCACCCACTACAAGCAGCCGCCGACGCCGGACCATCCGCCGCCGAGCTCCAGCCAAGCGGAGCGCACCATCCACGAGCGTATCCGACCGCTCAGCCAAGAGTACAAGCGCCGGTCCGCCCTGCTCCAACTGCAGGCGGCCCAACAGCTGATGATCGAGACGGGCTCGTCGCCATCGAAACTGCTGCCCACGCTGAGTACGCCGGGCTACGACTACGACGACACGGTTACGGTGGTGCCCCGTTGTCCGGCTCCCTCCTCTGGATCCCTGAGCTCCAGCATCTCGTGCTCGGACCACAGCCTCTCCCACTCCACGGACTATGTGGAAGAGTTTGTCAGCGATGTGCCCTTCGCCGGCCTGCTGAAGGGTGCCTCCCAGCTGGTCAAGGAGCCGAGCGAGGTGCAGCTGAAAATCCAGGAGGAGGCCAAGCCGCAGCAAACTCTGCCCAGAGTGCGTCCGCCCATTCCCACCAAGCCGTCGGTGCCGGAGAGGAAATTCGTCAAGCCGCCGACAACGCCAACCAGTCAGCCGGTGGAGCCCAATGGAAATTCCTCTGGGGAAATAGCAATTAAGCCGCCAAGATCACCCTCTAAGTCGCCCAACAAATCACCTGGCAAATCGCCAGCCAAATCTCCTGCAAAGTCGCCCGGAAGTGGCCATTCGACAGCTCGGAACTCCATAAACCTTCTGAGTCCCTTTAACGCTGAAGAGGCGCGAAAGAAGATCTCCGAGATAATAGAGAATTTCGGGAGTGGAATCCTCAATACCAGTATCACGCCCACCCACGACATCGAGCTGGACTTTGAGGACATGGAGGTGCCCAACGAGCGAAGGGAATTGGCCACTCGCCTCCGAACCGCCGGTTTACTTCATCTGGAACGGATGCTGTTCGAGAATGGCTATGATAACTACAAGTTTGTGGTATGTTCTCCGTTCGGAACTTATTTGGTGGGAAGGGCACTTATTTCTGTTCACTTCTTTCCTAGCACAATGTGTTTGAGGAGCCGGATATTCCGCTGCTGCACATTCCAGAGCGGGATGCGCCCAAGCTATTGCGTTTTGTCCAGAGTTTGCCACCGGCGGAGTTCCAGCCGCAAGTGCCGCTCAAGACACAGCAGGAGAACAAGGTAAAGGGAGTGGCCACGCTGCAGCAGTGGCTCAGTACCATCGCCTTGCCGGAGTACCTGGAGTTCTTTAAGTGAGTTCCATTTAAACTACATTCCGAATTAAGAATCTCTGTAACAAATTAGTATTTGTGGTTCATTATAAATCTATACTGATAATAAATGGAAAAGTACAAATAAATATCTGGCTATTGAGCCCAACAGTTTATATTTATGAAATAAGAAAAACACATATGATTTAAATTTTATCAAGGCAATATTTTTAAATTGTGTTTCAAATACTAGTATCTACTTCGTTTATTTAGGTATTTTTATTTAGCCCTATAGTTATTGTAAGCTATTTAATAATAGTTATATGCCAAGTAAAACATACCATAGGTGTTCATATGACGATCTTCATCCAAGAGACATTTTGCGACTTTGATAACTTTTAGGTACCCCCTACAAATAATATCATTAAAATGTATTTTAAAATCCTCCTCTGATTGTTATCCTTTCAGCAAGCATCTTTACAATACCATTGAGAGCGTGTGCGGGGTGTGGGATGTGGAGCTACAGACGGTGCTGGAGATCAACAAGCTGGGCCACCGAAGGCGCATTCTGCAATCGCTGGCCTTCATACGACAGATGCGTGACAGCGACTCCAAATCACAGAAGACGCCGCTGGGCGAGAATAATGAAACCAATCAAATTACAACGAACGGCAACGGAACGATCAGGGAGGCTCCACCAAGGATTCCTGCCAATCTAGTAAATCACCGCAACTCCATTACGGGCTATCGCAAGAGTCGGTAAGATATAGTCATTTAGTAGGGAAATACCTTTTTGTAAACTGGGTATTATGTTTGTTTTTAAGACCCGCACCACCACCACCGGCTCCACCAGCCAGAAAGGTAGCAGCTTTGCAAATACGGGCTCCTTCGGAGCTGCTGCTCGGCCTCCCGGCCAATCTACGGACCACCGAATGGCGCCACTCGGCGCTGACTTTGCTCAACGAGCGCATCAATTACGAGGTTCAAGTAAGTTGATATTTTACTTTTCCCAAAATACAAATTAAAAATCCATAGACCCTTTATAAAGTCAAGACAAAAATTCCCAAAGTCATTCAAGCACTAATTAACGCGAAATATTAAGCTTTAATGCTAGATGGTCTTTATAAGTTTCATATATATACATTTGTTTGTGTTTTAATAAATAATAATAAAATGGCTATTTTTATAAATCATAGTTTAATACTAAAGCTGTGAAGTGTGCCTTTTTACCCAGATTTCAGCTGACAGTTTTAATTATGTATAAGATTATAAACCGATTATTTTTCATTTCAACCTTTTAAACAGTTTTAATTATTAAACAATTCATTTATCATTTAAATTGTCTATTAAGTCTAAATCTAATTTTGGTTTCCCATTTTCTATGAAAGTACCTCGGCTCAACGGTTGTGAAAGAACTACGTGGCACAGAGTCCACCAAGAAGTCCATACAAAAGCTGAAGTCCTCAGCCGAAGGGGAAGGGAAATCGGGGTCACCACTCTCGCTGGGCATTTGTCATCGAGGTGTGGAGTTTATCGACGTAAGCAGTAAGGTAAGGGGTCGAAAATACTGTTTAGAGTTCTTTAATCTTAAAAGTGTTCTATAATTTCCAGCGAACTATTTGCGAACACGAGATTCAGAATATCAATTGCGCTTGCCAGGACTCGGAGGACCTGCGTCATTTTGCCTATATAACCAAGGAGCAGGACCTGCACTACTGCCATGTATTCCTGGTACAAAGCACAGTGAGTTTAGCAAAGATATTGCAAAGACATATCTTATATTTCTTAACTCATTCAGGATCTGGCCAGCGAAATAATCCTGACTCTGGGCCAAGCCTTCGAGGTGGCCTATCAACTGGCGCTGCGCGATGGAATCTCCACCACGCCGGCTCTGCTCCTGGACAATGGAATGCTGCAGGGCGAGTATTGTGGCGGGAAATAGAGCCAGGACCTGGCCCCAGGAAAGCAAACACCGCCGACACCACCGGCACCACTCAGGCCAGGTCACAGTCTCAGTCGCAGTCACAGTCACAGTCGCAGTCACAGTCGGAGTCGCAGCCTATGCGCCAAACTATTTTGTCTCACCAGTTATGGGGCTCTGTTCAAGTTGTAGTTAGAAGGAATTTTTGTAAGGCAACTAGTAGTTTGTAGTCCTTGCGCATTTGACTTTTATACGAGTGGGGGTTTTTATATTAATTTAACTATATTCGAATGGCCAAAGAACAAAAACTACAAGCGAAACGAACAAAAAGACTCACAATCAACAAAAGGCACAATTTTTTCCAACTAAGAAAAATGCACCAAACAAATAAGAAGGCTTTATTAGAGCTCACACCTTCCAAGTATGACAGAAAGCTTTCCGTTTCAATCGACTTAATTATTAGATCATTTTGCAAGGAAAGGAATTAACATTAGACAATTTTCCAGGGGTAACAATTGCATCCCTATTCCAAAAAACATATTGAGGTATTGCATTTATGTGACAAAAATACTAAATCATGCTTGATGATATAAACCAATGGTAAATGAAAATGTTTTAGCAAATTTTAACAGATAAACAAAAGAATGGAAAAACACGTTTGGCGTACGAGCGAAGAAATTAAAATATATTGGCTTATTACAAAATTTTATTAATGTTGAACGCTAAAAGCAAAGATTTGAATTAATGCAAAAGAGCAGTGCAAAATCATATCCCGCATTCATGAAGATCTATATACCTATTGGCTAACCACATTTACTACATATTATACATATATACATACGACTAACTCTAATTATAATATGTATGCGTGTTGTTATATAATTTTTAATTGAACATTAAGCGAATCGAATCAAATCAAAGGACAGACAACGCATCAAGTTATAAGCAAATAAATGCTTACAAAATCGTGAAAATGAATTGACTACATCGACGTGACGAGTCAGTTTAAATATTTTTTTGATATTTTACGAATTTTAAAAATGTCTTTTACCTAGTCCCTTAGTAAGCACTTATCAAATCATATGTGTATTTGCATTTAGTCGAGTGTTAAATGTTTTTTGTTTAAGGCCAGGCCTTGTTGTTATAGCTTTTATTTTGACTTGGTTTACGTAGAACATTTGATTGAGTTTAAACTCTTAACGAGGCGTATTCTCGACCCTTCTCTATTTATGTATCCGAACGCTTTAAATGTTAGCCTGCTTGTGGTACAACAGATTCCATTAAGTACCTACCTACTCAATACAAATCGAAGATAATTACAAATTAAACTCATCTTAATCCATTTTCTCTGGGCAGCAGTTTGTTATGCCATAGACACGCACACGGAAAATAAATCAATTTTATTAAACTATATATACAAAGTCGTACTCAACCAGCCTAGCCCATAACTAATGAAATTTAATAAAACCAATATATACGGCGGATTGCAAAGTTGTGACAACACAAACTCAACATTTTTAAGTGTTTATCCAAAGAAAAGAATGAGCGAAAACTGAAACTAAAGGAAAATACTAAATAAATACATAATTAACTGATGCCACAAGTTGTTTAATTTTTTTGTTGCGAGGTAAGGCGACCGTTTAAACGCCTCGTGATGTCAATTAAGGCCTACTTTCCCACAACAACCGGGATCTTAGCCAAATATAAGACAAGGATTGGCCGGGGGGAAAACCTCGATCAGTTACACAAAGGCAAACGCGTAAATGCGAATTTAATGTGAGCCGGTTTGCGAAGCGGCGCGATGTCTTGTTGGTTTTTTATACGGCTAAATGCGTTAACCATTTGATCATGCGAATATTAATTGACACTGGCCAACAGCGAAGCGCAGCTCGGGCCTAATGTTGTTGGCCACAAAGAGCTGCGGCGTCAAATGCGGCCAGACATCCGATAGGATTGGCGAAGATTCAAGCCAGTCAGAATGACGACGGTTTGAACGTAAGCCTCACATCGGACTTCAAAGAGGTGCGTCGTGAAAATGTCAGGAACAAATATTTTATAACTGAGGTTTTCAACTTAAACTATCTTAAAAATTTAAAAGTGTTTTCTTTATTAAACTTTACCCTGCCAGGAGAGAGACAAAAGCGAATTTTGTATTTTAACAACTTAAAAACTGAAAAATTATTTAATGAAGTTTAACAAATCAATATATTTTGAAACCAATATATCTTAAAACCGATTATATCTATCCGCAGTCGTGTCACGTTTCCATCTCTGGGCGGCTGCATTTGATGCCTCATCTTGCGCTTAACGGTTTAAATTATTGTCTCTCCGTCTCACTCGCGTGCAATTTGTGGCGCGCAGCTTATCACAATTTCATTATTATTATTATTATTGCTTAAGCTATGGCCACGGATATGTGTGTAGTCAGCATCAGGATCCCCCCATTGGCCATTTCTCCGTCGGTGCGTTTATTTGTAATTGAAATTGCGTGACTTTATTCTTTGATTTCGCTATTGGCCATTGGCATTGGCATTGCCTTTGCAGTTGCGATTGCGATTGCCATTCTGGTAATGTGCTTTTTGCGTACGAGCGACGAGTCAACCTGTAAACTTGCACATTTTGCCCCCTCATCGGTGATTTATGCCTCTAACGGCGCACAATAAAGCCCAGAGAAAAGTTGTAAAAAAAAGGTACCCGACGAGCAATCTTTTCCGGCGAGCTTTCATTTCGCTACTGCCAAATGCTGTTGGCCTGATTTAATTGCCAGCAAGCAACGAATATTTGCCCAGCCCTTGATAAATGTCACGTTCCGCCCCTGTGGGAGTGTGTGTTTGGCACTTTAAATGGAGAAAAGCTTTCCACTGCTTGTTCTGGTCATCTTTTATTCCTGAGCGCCGGCTACGAGTTGTACCAAAAAAATCGCCAGACGCCAACAAAACTTGGTCAAATCGAAAGCGCTTTAATTGCGAACATTTAAGCTATACAAAAATTGATATTTATCTAAATGAAATACAAAAAATAAATCACTTAAAAACATTATTTTGTATAACTATTTTGAGTTTAAGTGTAAATAAATATTTCGGAAAGTTATTTGGACCAAACTGACTTTAAATATGTTTTACTGATTTATTTTCATTGAAGCGCGCAAAAATGTTCGCATTGAGCCTTGGTGGAAAATCGGTTTCTATTTCCTCCACATCCAGAGTAGAGGACCTGCACGCACTCATCATCGTATTGCGAGAAGGCCCACACTATTCTATATCGTGAGCATGGTCCAGAATCAAAAACCATGTAACAATTGGCTAAATAATTAAAATTTATAAACAATAATATTGAATAAATTCCATGTTAACTTACAAAATGTACCCTGTTTTATATGACTAAACAATAACTTACGGTTTCTTGAATCGTTAGACTGAACTATAGTCACAAAGCAGGTCAAAAGACCCAGAAAAATGGAAAGCAAGATCATATTTACTACTTCAACTCAGAATATTTAATAAACTTTGCCTACAATTGTTTTGAGTATTTATATTCGTGTGTCTTGTTCATGAAAATTTTAATGAAAATGTGTTTTTCTCGCAAACTTAAATTAAGCAGCTAAGAGGCAATAACTTTTGGGAATTATTTTTCATTAAATAGGAAATTTATTATTTATTTGCAAGTAAATAAGTCATGAACACTTGCAAATAAAATAAAAATAATTAAAAAGGCAAGACACCAAAAATCTTTTTGATAAAGTACAAAATATTATTTATTTGTATGTTTTATAAAGTAGAAACAACTTTTATTCCTATTAAAGTTATTAACCGTCTCAGTTTTTTTTTTTTAATTTATTTTTTTTTTTAAATACAAATCGAAGATTAATTGGACTGCAAGCTCTCTCGTACTTTTCCTTGGTGAAGATTAGATTTTCATTGTCGGCGCAGTTGGAGAAAACAAATGCTACAAGCACGTGCATCTATCGCAATTACAACACAAAAAAGTTTACTAAAATCAAGTTAATTATTTGTCGCAGTACTCAAACACTTTTTTGGCTAATGAAAATGTGTTTTAGTGCGTTCAGATAATTTAAGTTGCAAGGCAATAATCTTTTAAGTAATAAGTATAACAAACATTTTGTCTTAGTCTTTTATTTACTTACTTGTTAAAAATGTTTTACGCACTCAAATTTTACTTCTTGAAACAGCCATACGTGGACGTCCTCCCTTGCGATTCTTCTTCCAGTTGTATTTACCGCAGAATTCCTGGCATGATTCTCGGGTAAAGAAAAGGTTGCCATTTCCACCACAATTGGAATAAATAAAAGTTTGGCACTTGGCCTTACTCAAGTCGTAGTACCACAGGCGACGGCGTCCTTCGCACTTTCCATACTCAGGATTTTGGATGCAAACATCTGCCGAATACCAACATTGCCGGTTAATTTATTTTAAAAACAAGTCTTAAAAGATTTATACTTTTGCGTATTTTGTACTGCTCCCTTTCATACTGATCCTGTAAGGAATCCGAGTCCATGTCGTCAGCTAGGATCACAGCTGCCAGGCATAGAATAAAAAGAAAATTTAAGCGCAGGTGGAACATGCTACTATTGAATTGAAGTGAATGAATCAAAAATAATATGAGCTTCTTTATTTTATAGCACAAGCCAAAGAAAGTGCACTTAGAACAATTATTATTGTTTTTACTAGTTATTATTTCACTTCCGTCTTAATAGGAGAAAGAAACCGGTAAAGACTGCTATCCAAAAAATTACAAATATAATAAATTTGACTTTAGTAATTACTGATTAAGAAAAAAATATTTTTATTTTTTTCCTTCAAATAAGAAACAAGTATTTTTTGCACACTGGATTTTTTTAAAGTGTACTATCATAAAAACACTTGATGTATTGTTTTCAAGAATGGTTTTTACACCAACTGTGTGCTAAAAGTCTGATTAGCGTTGGGAAAACGTATGTGATCGAGCAATTGCTCAATGTGTAATCGGGTGGACAAAAATCAAGCGACCGGTTGGCGAGCATGCGAATTCAATTAAATTTCTCAATAAATTACAAGTGCAGAAAGATATACAGAAACGTAGCGTGGAAAAATGAGTAAAATATCGCACGCGTTTCCACTGCGCTTCAGTTCAGATGCATAAAATATAAAAACTAGCTAACTGGTCTGGGCCGGCGTTTAAACCGGTACTTAGCACCCCGATATGTGATTACGCAAGTGCGCGGTGCAAACGGCGAACACGAAAACATCACCTTAACTCACCTGAGATCGCCCGAGATCGCGCACATCACACATACGCCGCGTTGTTCGGCGCTGAAATGAAAATGAAAACATCGGAAAAACGCTCGGCCGGCACAAATGAAATTCTAGATCAAGGCCACGCCCGACTAGGCCCATAAATATAAATCCACATCGCCTATCAAAGCCTGAGCACACGCAAAATGCGTAAACTAGTTTTTCGGCTCCAGGAGATTCAGGGAGCGGGAGGATTTTGGGGGGAAAGCTGGGGCTACCAGATCCAGCACCTCACCCAATCGCCAGGGAAGCAGGCTACACGATAAATTGTCAGGCGAATGCATTTTGTCACATTCGGCTATTTTGCATTTGTAAATTACAAGACAAAACACTTAGCAGTCACCCCAGAAATTTGGGTTGCACTGGCACCCAATTACACATAAAAATGTAGTTGACTTTTTTACTTGTAAGGCGACTACAAAATGTAGAGCACTTTTGTTTGTATAGTTTATTTATTAACAGCTGTGGCCAAGAAAACAGTTGCATTCAAATTAAAACAGAAAACAATTGTAAGGCCATTTTTTAAAATAAATAATAATTGAAGAGCTTTTCATATATGATTCTTTATTTAGAAACGATTTCATTTTGAATTTTAAAAAGGATGTTAATGTAACATTCTACTACATACGTAACTAAAAAAAATTTATTGAATAGTTTAGCTTTATCTCGATTACTTAAAGTATTTTTTTAGGCATTTTATATAGGCACACAACTATTACTTTTTACAGAACTGTGTCCAGCAACTCTGTAAGATGTTTTTTTTGAAAATAATTTATTTCCGAAGTAAATTATTATTGCAAATGCCAAATAAATTATCAAAACATTTAATTATTTCAATGCTAGCAAATAGTTTTTCCTTAGGGTTCTGAATTGAAAGCAAATCGGCCATTAAATTATGGCACAGCATTAGCTAAGTGAGCAGCATCGGCCTTCGCTGGAGTGTTGGCCTTCTATAAACAAATAATATAAATTATTAATAAATACAGTTAACTTTGGTGTGCGGTGGCTTGCGGCCATGACAATTTGCACAGAAAATCAGGCTAAAACCTTTAAGCGAATTGATTGCACATAATTAGAATTGTTTAAATGTGGCATTTGACTTTTTTCAGCACTCCTTTCCGACACATGGAAATTATGGTCATTTGAGAGTGACCCTTGGGGCTGCCAAGGCCAGAAAGTAGGCTTATCGCCACTCCATGATTGATGACAGTCGGCTTACCCAGCTGTTTTTTTTCCACTTTTCTACTCGCGCACGCAAATGAACCACATGGAAAATTGTGCAATTATTGCTAATAAAAATGTTTATGAACGTTACCTGTTAGCCGATGCCAACGATGACTCCGCTCTGCCGGCTGGTGATATGAATCACCATAAATCTAAGAGCGGTATAAATATTTATCGCAATTTTATAATCATCCCCAGCCAGACCAGGCCAAGACCGGCCGAAAAACAGCCTCTGCGTGAACTGGCTAGCTGCCGCCGCGTGAGAATTGCTCTCACATCGAAATAGTAAAATAACTCAGTCAAATAGGTTATTGATTCCCGAAATACCCTTTGTTTTTGCAAAAAATTATATATATAGATCTGTGTATAAATCTTTTCAAATAAAATATAGCAATTTTATGTTATTCAACTAACCAATAAATTATTAGGGTAGCATATTTTTAAATAATTTTACATATGAAACTTAAAATTTGTAGTAATTTTCTATAACGATATCCCTGAAAACATTTTGAAATTATACACAACAAAAATATAGAACAGTAAATAAGAAACACTTTTTAATTTTAAAATGTCTTGTAGTTAGTATAATATGTATAAATAAATGTTGTTTATAAAAGTCTTAATGCATACTGCGAAGCCAAATTTAAATCTTAGGTAACAGTAAAACTAACAACAAACTGAATGTAAAAAAATAGTAGCTACAAGTAGAGTGTTTTTGACATATTTGAGCTTTGGCCAGTTCCAAAGGTATTTTATGACAGGCAAATTTTTACCGCAGCGATTCGAATGGCTGAGATAAAAGAGCCAGTCTGGGGGCAGAGCAAAAAAAGGTCGGGAGGCCTAAGAAAGTGGGTTAATTAGCAGGAAGCTGGAGGAGGACCCCGAGGCACCTCGAGCACACCACATAGCCCGAATTGCTCCAATAAAACGGACCACAGCAAAACGCATCGGAATGCCCGAAAACTTGACCTGAAAATGGAAGCTACTGTGGTCTGGCCATTGGCATTGCTAACGCGGACATGTCCAGGACCCTGGGCTCTGGTCGACGTCATGGTTAATTGGGCATTCAAATGTCAAGTTCAATTTTGGGCCACATTAGCGTTACCTATAAAAGGGCCGTTCGCTCCGCGCTCTGCATAAAATGAGATTTATTGTTGCATTTTTCCATCTGCTGCTGTTTGGCTGGTTGCTGGTGGCAATGGTCCAGTGGGCCTGGCCCAAAACAATTGGCCAGTCGTTGTCTTGCCAGTCGATTGCCTTTTATCGTTTTACCTTTGAATAATTCCAGGCCGCGGCGCTCGTATAAATTGGAATATTGTTAGAAAAATGCAAGTAAAATTTGCAAATTGCATTTGCATTTGCAGTGTTTTTGTTTTTTATTTAGTTTTGGTCTTAAAGCCTTTGGCTCTAATGTGACGTTGACGAGCAACTTCCGCTTGGTCTAATCGAGCTCAAGTTGGACGGCTTTTTTTATCAGCTCTCAAACACACAAAATAAAAATGTAAAATGCTTGCAATTAAATCCAGCTAAATTGCTTGCCTCTCAACTATTCTAAGTGCAGCCAACTGGACCACCGAAAAAATGAAATAAAATCAAAAACAAATCTGCGCACTGGCCGACTGAGCTTTAAATCATATAAAGTATTTCGGCGGCAATGGTTGGGCATAAATCAAACGATAAGTAAATTAAAAGCCATAAATTTGCAATTAATTTTTAATTTGTGCAAATTGATAGCCATCAACGTGTTGAAACTGCCAATAAAAAAATTATGCCAAATAAATCAAGAAACTTAACAAAAATAAAACCGTGATCCAGAATCTGACTGGGAAACGCCTTTAAACAGCTGGAGACAAATTATGGAGTGGCTATAAAGATCTTGAAGGATAGGAAAAAACCTCAAGGCTTCTTGACTTGAATAAAGACAAGGAAACTTACTTGTAATGGACAACGTTATCTTGAAAGGAATTTCTTATTTAAATTTATAGTGATTATATTATAATCATTATCATAAGAAAAATGAAATTTAAAATCAGTTATCAAAAAATAAAATGTAATGAAGAAAATTTCTTGTCAGTTTTCAAACTTAGATAAACAGATTAATCTGGCACTAGACTGGTATTATTTTTTAATAAATCATGTTGTTTCGCATAACAATATTTTCTTAATATTTCAATGTCCCTATTGGCCGTCGCAAAGCATATCAATACGAATTGCTGGCTTCGACCACCTTTAAAAGTTTTACGTTGGTTACAGCAATTTCCCAAGATTTTTTCTTTCCCTGTCATTGCAATTATGAATCCGCCAGCGTTATCATCTGGGTAAGAAATTCGTCTTGGTCAGGCGAAACACCAGGCCAACAATCAAATTGCATTAGCTCGGTTGCCTCCAGAGAGTTTTACGCTGATCCTCTCGTTCCAAGCCTTATAAAATGCCCATGGCTACAACCTACGCAATGTGGCCAATAAACAAAAGTGTGAAGGTCTCGCGGGAATCGTTGGAAAGGTGCAACTCGAACTGTTGACCCTGAGGATGTTGCCGGTGTGCCTGTTGCTGCTGTTGTTGCTGCCCGCTGAACATTATTGGATGTGATTAATTATGCTGACATTAATTCGGCTAATAGAAATATATCTCGTTGCGTTGAAAATGATGTTGACGTGATTGTAATTGAAGTTGTTGACCGGAGGTGTTACTGTCTGTACTGTGATGCTGTTGCAGTTGTGCCTGAATGGCTTTTTGCCTTTAACCCGGCTGGAAAATTGCCTTCACCACTGCGTGCTGTGCAGTTTATTGCAAATTTGTTTGTATTTATGATAATTGATGGGAAGAAATGGTGAAAAGCGCTTATGAAAATCCATTTTGGCAGCGAGCATTAATCAAAACGATAATTGGCGACTGTTGTTCCTCCGTTGTTTGCTTTCACGCCAGCCAGCGGATAATGATAAAGCCAATTGGCTGCCATAGTCACACAGCATTGCCTTGGCATCAAGCGCTAGCAATTTGGTAAAGATCTGGGAATGTGG